AGACTATATTTCCCAATCAGTGCTCTGGGCATAACCCAGCTTCCTGGAAAGAATCCCGGACGAACGCACTTGGGCGAGGGGGCCGCCTGGAGTTGTAGTATTTTGTGCAGAGCGACACCCGCCAACGCCTTGGCAGGGGTGGACCAGAGACTACAAATCCCAGGGGGACCTTGCGGGGCGTTCGCTAGGCGGCCGGTACGAAAGAGGAACCCGCCTGGTGTATGGTGAGTGGGGTCCCTGGTCTGACCGAGGTGGCTGCCGCAACTACGCGATAAAGGCCGCGGGGCTCCGGGTAGCTCAGACTCCAGGACTCGCCCAGGGCCCAGCGGAACAGTGTCCATCCTGTCTCCCTTGCAATTTTGTCAGTGATGCGGCGGTACGGGAGGAGCCGGGAGCGGAGCGTGGCGGTTGCGCGAATGGGCAGACAGGGAGGGGAGGCCGAGCGGAGGAAATGGACCGCAGGCAGCACGGGGGTGCACCGGAGCGGAGCAGGACGTGGGAGATGTGGGACTTCCGTTGGTCTGTTGGTGTCAGGAAATTGTAGAGGTCCTGCCACGGGATGTGGTCTTCTTGAGGACTTAGCTGTGCGTACTAGTTTATCAGTGTGACACATTTCCCACCGCATTTCGGCCTTTGGCCTTTACAGTTTCTCCCCGCAACTCTATTCCTAGTGAATTCTCAATTCAGTAGGTCTATTAAAGGTATCAAACTTGGCCCGGTGTTTTGTTTTTGTTATGAGACAGGGTCTGGCCATGTAGCCCCTGTCAGCCTCAAACTTGTGATCATCTTGCTTCTATTGGCCCATAATTTTGTTGATGGTGTTTCTTAGTATTACTACAGTGTAGAGAAGGCAGAACGGCGGAGGTCTTTTTTTTCATTTCTGTTTTTTCCCCCTTGGAGATGCGGTGTGTGGGGCCCTGGTGTGTGTGTGGGGGGTGGGGGAGTTAAATCTAGGGCCTCTCACATTTTAGGCCCTTTTCATTTTCAGCCCCTGCTTTTTCTCTTTCATAATCCTGCAGAAATCCATGGCTTGGCTTCGATTCCCCAGGTTGATTCAGGTCACAAAAATAGTTTGATGGTAGGTGCACTTGAAAATTAAGAGTCACACAATAATTTGAGTGCTTTTTTTTTTTTTTATTTTTACTAACCCTGAAGCTTATAGAAGAAACTACAGATCTGGATTAGACAGATAGTTTCTTTTCTTGGCTAGCATATCCTGGCCTCAATAGTCTTCCCCAATGCAAGCACATATCTTGATGAGCTTGAGCTCATCTTAGGTGAACTCTCTTGTCCACTGACAGCATCTGTCACAGAACCTCTGAACTAGCTTGCATCTATTCTTCATAAGATCTATAAAATAACTTAGATCTACAAGATAACTCATTTAAAGAACAGTGGTGGCACATACCTTAATCCCAGCAGACAGGAGGCAAAGGCAGGCAAATTTCTGAGTTCCAAGCCCCAAGACTGCCGGGGCTATACAGAAAAACCCTGTCTTGAAAACCCAAAATGATGATGATGATGATGAGCATTGCTTAGGGGCTAGAGAAATGGCTTAGTGGTTAAAAGCAAGTATTCATTCAGCAAGAAAATGTGATGCTCACAACCACCTGTAACTTCAACTTCAGAGGATCCAACTCCTTCTGGCCTCCACTGGCACCTGCATTTTATGTATATAAATATACATACATATAATTACATAATTAAAAATAAATCGCAAAGAAATAAACTATGTGCTGGAGAGATGGCTCAGCAACTAAGAGCACTTGTTGCTCTTGCAGAGGCCAAGGTTGAGTTCCCAGCACCTACCTTGTGCCTACAATCATCTGTAACACCAGTTCCAGGGGATCTGGCACCCTCTGGCCCTCTGCAGGTACCAGTCACCCATAAGTAGATTAGGCTATTCTCAAACTCAGAAATCCACCTACCCCTGCCTCCAGAATGGGATTAAAGGCCTGTACTACCACTCCTGGTACATCATTTTTTTTTTTTTTTCTTTTTGTGGGTTCACCGAATTCAGTTAATGCTGTCTGTTGGAATGTTAACTGACCTTGTTGGTTTGCTCTTGTACAGTAGCCATAGTTTCAGTAAGTTTATGTGTACAGTAGTTATATCATGTCCAGAAGACAGCAATTTACAATATTATTCTTCATCCTTCAGCTTTTAAATTCTTTCTGGCCTCTCTTCCACAATCTTACCTGAGCCTTGGGTAAGGGAGGGTTGAGATAGATGTCCTGTTTAGGGCTGAGCATGCTTATTCTCAGTTCTTCCACCACCAGCTACCTTATAATGTATTACCTTATTTATGTATTTATTTGTTTAATTTATTGAGACAGCATCTCACTATGTAGACCAGGCTGGTGTTGAACTCAGAGAAATCTTCTTGCCTCTGCCTCCCAAGTACTAGGATTAAAGGTGTGAACTGCTACACCTGACCTAGATTACCTTTTAAGGGAGAATATAATAGTATGTGACATTTTAAATCTTTGGCATATGTCAGTATGTTATGTTACTACCCAGGGCCAGATGTGCACATCAGAAAACACCAAAATACGATGGAGAGGGATTAAAGAAGACCATGTTGACTTCTGGCTTACACAGAATTCTAAACATGCATGTATACCACACACAACAGAAAAGAATATGTAGGTATCAGTGAGATAGCTCAGCAGCGAAAGCACTTTTCCACCAAGCTTCACAAAGCTAAGTTTAGTTCTTAGGACCCAGATAGTGAAAGAAGAGAACTGACTCCCACAAGTTGTCTTCTGACTTCCGTGCATGTGTGTGTGTGCATGCGTGCATGCGTGCTTGTGTGTGTGTGTGTGTACACATAAAAAATAATCAAAAATTTAAAAATTATATACAGAACTGCTGAGTCAGTGGGGTGGCTCAGTAGGTAAAGGGATTTACAGCCAAGACTGACAACCTGAGTTTGATCTATGGAACCCACATGGTGAAATAAGAGAACTGACTGTTGTTCTCTGACTTCCACATACATGCTATAGCATGTGTTTAATGAGATGTGTGTGCATACTAATCATACTGATGTGCATAACACACACTAAGTGAATAAATAAGTACATGTTAAATAACTGCCATTTCCTACTAATTGAATGACAATTCAATTAAAACAGGTAAAAGATGTGAAAAGACACTTCAGTAGTGACTTTTAACATGTGACTAATAACATGAAAAGATGGAGATACCACTTTGTGCCCACCAAATATTGGTGAGGGTGCAAAGCCTTTGAGCTCTTCTGCTCTGCTGGTGGGAAAGTAAAGAGGGACTATATATATGGAAAAAAGTTTGACAGATTAAACATACCTCTGATCCAATACAAATTCCTGGATTATTTACCTATGAGAAATAGAAATACAGGTTTACACAGTGTGTGCTCAAGTGTCAAGGGCCATGAGAAATACAGCAGAATAACTAATATTCAACAGGGTGACCTACCACATGAGTGATAGGGTACTCCACCTGGCAAAGCCATGGAGCACACTGGCTGTAAAGATCAGTTGCTCCTGTTTGTATTTTCTCTTGTGAGTCACTTCATCTCTTCCCTAAGAATAGCTTTGGGTGTTTGCCACTGCTTGTGTGTGTTTATCTCTTGAAAATATACCATTTACTGGGTACCTGTATCTGTGGGAAGTCAGGAAGATGGTTTATTTCATTTGGTTATATAATCTTGATATATAGAATATCTACTGGGTGCTTTGTATTCTCAAATAGGCCCCAGAGTATCAGAGGTAAGAGCACCCTACTGTTTTTCCCAAGGCTGGAAGTAGCAGCCTTTGGATCTCACACTACATACCTTTAGCTTTTTTCTTTGATATAGCACTGAGAAGTCCCCTTTAATCAGCTAACATTTGTCGAAAGTGCCACCTGTTTACCTTCTGAAGCTTATGCAAATTGCCATGGCTCATGTGTTTCCAGCTACAGCTAAAGCAAAAGCCAATGCATAGAAAGCACAGAGCTACAGTGTCTCATCCCCTCCTCTTTTTTCTATATTTATCAATTACAAACTTCGAGCATAACTAACCACACACCACAGCTGTAGTTTTACTTACTAACTCCCCTTTCCCTTCTTAGTAATCATAGCCCCTTACTCCATTTAACCCTTCCCTACCTCTTAAGTTTTTCTGTGACATTTTACAAGTCATATCTCTGAGATGTGAGGGGCCTGCTTTTGTCAAAGATCTTATCTGCCTTCCTGGCTCTGAGAGATATGCATACCCAGTATCCTCGATATTACCAGAGAATTGCTAATCTGTGTCTGTATCAGAGAAAACTTTTGAGGAAAAAAAATTTTTTTTTTTTTTTGAGACAGGGTTTCCCTCTGTAGCTTTGGAGCTTGTCCTGGAACTAGCTCTTGGAGACCAGGCTGGTCTCAAACTCACAGAGATCCACGGCCTCCCAAGTGCTGCTGGGACTAAAGGTGTGCGCCACCACCACCTGGCTTGAGGAGAAGTCTTAAAGAGAGCTTTTGGAGAGAAACATTTGAAGAGAACTTTAGAGGAAGAACCTTTTGTTTTAGAATAAAGAACTATGGGAATGATACGCATATGAACTGATTCATTTACTCTCAGATCTTTTTAGTTAGCCCCACCCCCTTGCTGTAAGCCTCTGGCCTGGACCCTGAGAGGACACTGAGGCTGGAACTTGGAGGCCTTCATTATTCAAAGACCTATGATTTCCAAAATAGTAGAATCAGCTAGGAACCTGTCAGCAGGTGATAAGCAAAGGAAATAAGGTATAGCCACATAATAATAGCATAGTAAACAAAACACACATAATGCACTACATCTAAAGATCCTTGGTGCTGAATTAAAGGAACCATTTGTATTGTATGTTCTGTTTTTATGAAATTATAGACTTCTTTGTAGTGACAAAGCCAGTGTGATTGCCTGGAGCTGAAGGTTGAGGATGGGGGGCTCATAGAAGGCTGTGATGCTATATATATATATATATTTTTTTTTTTTGGTGTAGTGGTGGCCTCATAGGTACACAGTGTTTTCAGAACTCCCTGACTTGTCTATTTTAAATGGATGTGGTTATTGTGTGCAAATTATGCTTCAGTAAAGTTGACTAAGTAGCAAATGGCAGTGTTGATTGAAATGCTGGACTTTGGCTTCTTTTTTTTTTTTTTTTTTTTTACTTGGTCTGGGTCTGGGGATGTTCTTCTCAGAGTGAGCTTAGGGTCCTTAACATCTCAGAGTTTTCCTCCAGGACAGAGAAATATGGTCTTTGGTGAGCAAACCTTAAATTCATGGAAAAGTTGAAATTTGATTACATTCTGTGGTTGAGGGGTGGCCACACTGTAATATGAATGTGACTCTAAGAAGATTTCACACCTTAGAAAGAGATGGTAAGTCAAGCACAGAATGTATTTTGAAATTCAGCATGTATTACTGAAATAAAGAAAAAGTATGTACTAATAATGAGTTCCAGAAAGGCTCTGGATAAAGCTTTATAGGTCACTCCTGCAGGCCTTAGAACTACCTCTTCCCCCTGCAATGTGGTCATTTTCCTGGTAGTCCTGGCTTAAATCCAGTATAAAGTGAATTATAGTAAAAACTCCCACTTTTCCTCTTGATGGGACAGGGGCCTATACCATCCTGAACCTTCACCTCCGTGGGTCATGTAGACCCACATAATCCTTTCCCTAGGTCCCTTAAGTGGAGCTTCCTACTTCCCCTAAGCCAGAGAGTGCAGTTCCTCATTTTTAGCCTCAAAGGGAAACTTCTCTTTGTTCTCTCAGAGAGTCTACCTAGAAGCGAAGCTCAGGCTACTACTATACCAGAACTGGAGATGCCCAGCTTGCCTGCTATTTCAGTGCTGCAGTGGCCTCTGCTAAGTAAAAAGTCTTCATAGAGGTAATGTTTATTTTATTATTATTATTTGAGACAGGATCTCAGGTTGATCTTGAATACTATGTAGCTATACTACTTTTGATCCTCTTATCTCCAGCTCCAAAGTGTGCCACCATACCAAGTTATGCCTTGATCAAAAGTGCTTTACCAACTAAGCTATATCCTTAGTCTCATAAGAGGTAACATTGTTTATTTGTCTAAAGATGTATTTATTTTCATTTTATATGTTTGGGTGTTTGGCCTGCATGTATGTCTATACACCACATACATTCAGTGCCCTCAGAGGTCAGAAGAGGATACTAGAACCTCTGGAATTGGAGTTAAAGACAGCTGCAATGTGGATGATAGGAATTAAAATCCAGGATCTCTGGAAATGCAGCCAGTATCTCGCCAGGCCTGTTTTTTGTTTGTTTTGTTTTGTTTTTGTTTTTGTTTTTGTTTTGAGACAGGGTCTCGCCGGGCGTTGGTGGCGCACGCCTTTAATCCCAGCACTCAGAAGGCAGAGGCAGGTGGATCTCTGTGAGTTCGGGAACAGCCTGGTCTACAAGGGCTAGACAGGGCAGCCTCCAAAGCCACAGAGAAACCCTGTCTCGAAAAACAAAAAAAAAGAGAGAGAGAGAGAGACAGGGTCTCACTATATAGTTCTGGCTGGCCTGGAACTCACTAGGTAGATCAAACTGGCCTCAAACTCACAAGAGATCCACCACACTCAGCTAACTTTTGCTTTTTAAGAGGTAACCTTTGGGGCAAAAAATATTCTTATTTTGGACTTTGATTGATTTATAAGTACCACTTTATAAGTTAACACAAGTTTGTTGTAAAAGGGATTTCGGGGACAAGGAGCCTAGAAAGATGGCTTAGTGGTTAAGAGTAAGGACCCCGAAGCCGGGCATTGGTGGTGCATGCCTTTAATCCCAGCACTCGGGAGGCAGAGGCAAGCGGATCTCTGTGAGTTCTAGGCCAGCCTAGTCTCCAGAGCGAGTGCCAGAATAGGCTCCAAAGCTACACAGAGAAACCCTGTCTCAAAAAAAAAAAATTAATATACATAAAATAAAATAATCTTTGAAAAAAATTAAAAGGTATGGGGATGTAGCTTAGTGGATAGAATGCTTACCTAGTATACACAAGCCTTGGGTTCAGCCCCTAGCCCTGGATAAATCAAGCTTGATATTGCACATCTGCAATCATAGCACTTGGTGGTAGAAGAAAGAGGAATGAGAGAGATGGAGAGATGGCTCAGCAGTTAAGAGTACTGGCTGCTCTTCCAGAGGACCTATTCCCAGCACCCACATGGCAGCTCACAACTGTAACTGTTACAATCTGTAACTCTAGTTCCAGTAGATCTGATGTCCTTTTCTGTCCTCTGCAGGCATGCTCACAGTATGCAAATACCCACATATATGCCAGGTGGTGGTGGCACACGCCTTTAATCCCAGCACTTGGGAGGCAGAGGCAGGCAGATCTCAGTGAGTTTGAGACCAGCCTGGTCTACAAGAGCTAGTTCCAGGACAGGCTCCAAAGCCACACAGACAAACCCTGCCTTGGAAAAACAAAACAAAACATACATAAAAATTTTTTAAGAGTTTAAAAAAAGTAGTATTGGTACAGATTGAGTTCGAAGTCAACCAGCATACACAAAACCCTTATCCCCCAAACAGGAAAAAAAGTATTAAAAACTGTACACGTGATTTTACCTCAAGGTTCTGTGGTAGGTGCATGTTTTCCTCTATTATATTAAAAATGAGGCATATAAGCACTAAGCCAACAGTTTTCAGGGACCAGGTGTTCTAAGGTTTAAATCTCACCGTAATATTTGTGCTCCTTTTTGGTCTCTGGATCCTTCCTCTTGTTAGTACTCTTTTTTTGTTTGTTTGTTTTTGTTTTTTTGAGACAGAGTTTCTCTGCGTACCCCTGGCTGTCCTGGAACTCAGAGATTCACCTGCCTCTTCCTCCTGAGTGCTGAGATTAAAGGTGTGTGCCACCATGCCTGGTTTGTGACAATATATTTTTAAGCTAGGGTATTACTCTGGACCATGGTTCTGCCTTCAGAAATGCAGAACACTGATTCACTAAAAATTCCCAATGAACTTGTGTTTACCCCAAACCCCTAGCTACCTACAAGGAAAACATATCTTGTTAGTAGTGCTTAAGATGTGATTAGGGCTTCACTAGGACATTGTGTCTGCACCCTGGGAAGTCAGACGTACAATGGTCTTGCTTTCAGAATCCTGACAGCATAATATTAGAAGGAGGCATCAGTTCATCCCTCTCCGTCAAGACTCTGCCCACCTGCCTTGATTACTGAGTTTGCAGCCTTAAAACTATAGTGTGCAGGCCTGTGAGCTCCTCACAACCCTAGCTATGCTAACAGTTGATACCATGTAACAAGGAGCTGATGTCTAGCTTTCATTTTGGAGGGGCAGGTAAGGGTGCTTTGACTGCATCACTGCTTCCCTGAAAGGCTGCCCCATCCTTTCCATTAAAGCCCTAGCCTCTCTACCTTGGCCCTGCCCTCCCAGTTATCCCTCTCTTAGCCCTACCCCCCTTTACCAGTACCTCCTCCCTGCACACTGTTCTGTCTTACAGATCTCCCTGTCAGCTCCCCAGCATGACACTGCAGTACCTCATGCTCCTGACTGCCCTCCTGATGGGAGGCTCCAGCAAGTCCACAGAGAGCAAGGTGGGTAATCCTGTGCCCAGTGGCAAAAAGTTGAAGCCTCCTCAGAGGCAATGGATCCTCACCCCATAAAAATTTCAGTCTTTGAATTTAGGGTTCACTGATGTTAGCCTAACCCTTAGAGTCTACCACTAGTGTTGGAAATGCCTGGACTTTGCCCATCACCTGTTTTGTTCTGCTTTCTAGAAGTTTCCCTGCCAGACCTACTTACTGCTATAGTTGGCCTAGAGTCTCTGCAGAACCACCCTCCAGAACTGCCTGTACCCCAGAGCTGCCTGCTTAGTTATTGCTTACTTGGGAGAACTAATGACTAGTAGGCACACATGGCATCCTGGCTCCCACCAGAAGTAGTTGAACAAAGCCAATGACACTCCAGTGAGCTGAGTTTTGGTATCTGGAATTGTGGTGCCATTATTCTCTCCAAGCCAGGCAGGATGGGGGGCTCACTGGTTGGGGGTGATGGTATGGGGAATCCCTTACTAACTAACATGGGTAATGAAAGGGATGGCTTGTGCACTGGGCCTTGATCTTTCCCATAGTGGTATGATACTCCCCTGTGTCCCTGTTTTCCTTTAGACACTCCTTACTATTAACCAGGCTCAGAGAACAAGAAAAACCACAAACTTGTAGTCTGAGGCAGTAGAATTGTGAGGGGATTTTGTTTTGTTTTATTTTTTTCAAGACAAGGTTTCTCTGTGTAGCCCTGGCTGTTCTGGAACTCATTCTGAGACCATGCTGGCCTCAAACTCAGAGATCTGCCTACCTCTGCCTCCAAGTGCTGGGATTAAAGGCATGTGCCACCCCCACCAGTCAGGATTAGGATTTAGGATTGTGAGTTTAAGACCAGCCTGGCCTACATAATGGAGTGTTTTTTTTTTTTTTTTTTTTTTTTTTTTTTTTTTTTTCTGAAATAGGGTTTCTCTGTCCTGGAACTTGCTTTGTAGACCAGGATAGCCTCAAACTCAGAGATCCAAAGTGCTGGGATCTAAAGGCATGTGCCACAACCTGGCCAGAACCCTGTCTTAAATACAAATAAACAGGGTCAACAAGATGGCTCAGCAGGTAAGGGCACCACATTCTGCCAAGCCTGATGATTCTGAGTTACTAAACTGGAACCCACAGTTGAAACACTCCCAAAAGTTGTCCTCTGACCTCTGTCTGTATGACCATACTATATATACACACAACAATAATAATAAATTTAAAAAGCTGAATGTTATGGCACATGCCTTTAATCCTAGCACTGTAGGCAGAGACAGGTAGATTGCTATGAGTTTGAGGCTACCTTGGCCTACACAATGAGTTCTAGACCAGCTGAAGCTACATAATAAAACTCTGTCTCAAAATAAAGCAAAAATAATAATAGATGAAATTCAGAAATTAAAAATAGAGAAAAGGCAAACTTAATATAAGTTTTACATTTCTTGAGTGCTTCTATAATGAAATAAGAACACCTGTGTATTTATGTTACTGTTTGAGGAAGTGGGATATTTCTAAGGAAGTATGATTGGACAGAGGGTGTGATCTGATGGTCATTAACTAGGGACCTAGCCAGGCTGGTGTCCAGATTCTTGTCCCCATGGCTTCAGAGACAAGGACCTACCCTTTCAATACAGGGAGGGCACTGTTCTATGAGGGCCTTAGCCTTTCCTTGAAGGTAAAGGGCAGGAGATAGTCAAAGACTTCTTGAGGACTTTCCAGTGTCAAAAGTATTCTATTTTGGGGCACTTTGTTCTGTGTCACACCTTGCCAGGCTGTCCAAGGTCCAGGTCCCAGGCCAATTCATTAGGTCTTACCCTTCCTGGCCTTTGGGAGACTGGGTAGCTGGTGTTGGACATACATAGCCAGAGTCTACCTTTATACTTAGTGGCTTATTCAGTCACCAAATATTTACTGCCACAGGCTCTGCATAGTCTAGACTTGGAGCCAGTGGGAGAAGGACCTGTTGGGTATTGACTCATGTGATGTGACAGGAGTGTAGTTCAGGTGCTTATAAAGATATCCCCAAAGGGAGATAGCCCCAACTCTATTTGTACCAGTAACTTCCAGGTTTGGTCTCTATGTCTAGGGCTGGAGTTTTCCCTTTGCTCTGCCAACATGGACTGCAGTAGGAGTAGAGTAGGAATACTCACTTATTGAAGGGATGTCACTTGACTCTAGAGTGAAGATGGAGTTTTTTTCCAGCCAGGTCCTGAAGCTGTTTAGTCCCAAATAAACACAGAGGCTTATATTAATTATAACTGTTTGGCTGATGGCTCAGTCTTCTTATTGGCTAGCTCTCCCTTAATTACTAGCCCATTTCTATTAATCTAAGTATTTCTACATAGTCTTGGCTTACTGGAGAATGTCTGGCATCCTATCTTCCTGGTAGCTACATGGTATCTCCCTTGAGGCTCCTCTGCCTTCCTCCTCCCAGCCTTCTCCTAGTCTGGTAGCCCCGCCTATCAGTCCTACCTGGCTACATCCTGCCTGTCCATTGGCTGAAGCAGCTTTATTCATCAACCAATAAGAGAAACATATATTCACAGCATACAGAAGGACCTCTCCCATCACTAGAGAGTTTGGGGGGTTATAGATAATGAGAAAGATAAGATCCTGTTATGATCAAATATGTCCTTGGCATGAGCTAGGCCTTTAGCAACCTGTCTCACAGATGTTTCTCCTCTAGGCCCAGCAACCTGAGTGTTGTATGAATGCAGTAGACTTCAATGCTACCTGCCCAGGCACAGGCCTATGTGGCCCAGGTAAGTGTCATTGTTGGAAGTAGATATCAGACTAGTCACCACCCTACCAGCATTCCTAGATGTCTGACAGCTGAGGGGATGGAGGAACTTGGGGCAGCACGGGCTGTGACATTGGGCAAAGGAGGCCTACCTGGGTTTCCTTCTTTTTTTGTTTGTTTGTTTGTTTGTTTTGTTTTTCAAGACAGGGTTTCTCTGTGTAGCTTTGGCGCCTATCCTGGTACTAGCTCTGGAGACCAGGCTGGCCTCGAACTCACAGAAATCCTCCTGCCTCTGCTTCCCGAGAGCTGGGATTAAAGGCGTGTGCCACCAACGCCCGGCCTGGGTTTCCTTCTTAAGCAACCTAACTACACCCTTGTCTGGTCCAGGCAGGACCCTGTAAGGGACTGTTTTCTGTAAAGGGCTAAGGATCAGAGAGAAGGAGGTTCAGAAGAAGAAGGAAGAGGCACAGGGTTCAAAAGGAGACTAAACCAGGATAGCACTTCCAGGAACTTAACAGCTCTTGGGGTACTTTTTTATATATATGTATAAGATTTATTTATTTTTATTCTATGTGTGAGTGTTTGCCTGTAGGTGTGCATATGTACCACATGCATACTGGGTACCCTCAAGTGCCAGAAGAGGGTATTAGGTCCTCTGGAACTGGAGTTATGGATGATTGTGAGCGTGGGTGCTAGGAACCAAACCCCGGTCTTCTTTAAGAATAGCAAGTGCATTTAACTGCTAAATCATCTCTCCTTTGGGGTAATCTTGACCCTGGCATATCTAGCAATGTCTAAAGGCATTTTTGGTCATCACAGCTGGTGATAAATGAGTTGAGGAGGGTGCTTTTGGCATCTAAAGGTGGAGGCCAGGGTGCTGTTCACTAGCCTCAGTGCACAGGATGACTCTACCACAGAGGACAGTCCATCTCCAATGTCAGCATGCCCAAGGTGAGAGCGTTATCCCACAAAAGGTTCTAGGAGGCTATGAAGGTAGGACTTTCTGGAGGCAGCTAACAGAGGTTAGGGCTAGTGAAAGAAGACAAATAGGGGCATCTAGGAGAGGAAGTGAAATGTCAGGGCCACCCACTGTCTTGGCCTGTCCTGAAGCAAGAAATTGTTATGATAAAAAGGTGGTCAGTTTTGAGGGGATGACTCTGGGCTGCTATTAATTTTAGACTAGGACTGGCCCAGAGCTGTCCCTGGGTTTGTCAAGAGGCACTCCTTGGCACCTGTCCTGACTTCCATTACACTCAAGACTACAAGAACCCAGACTGCTCAGGAAAGCAGGCACCCCAAAATCATTGGTCAGATGCCATGGGAGGAGGACATGGACAAAATGTTGAGGCTGGAAGGGAGGTGGGGATCAATGATGAGTGTAGTGACAAGGGGAAGAGGGCATTGTTTTGCAATGAGCAGAGAAAATCTGAGTATGCTTTTTTAGGGTTTCTATTATGTGAAGAGACACCATGACCATGGCAACTCTTACAAAGGAAAACATTTAATTGGGTCTGCTTACAGTTTCAGAGGTTTGGTTCATTATTATCATAGTGGGACATGGTGGCATGCAGGCAGATATGGTGCTGGAGAAGTTGCTGAGAGTTCTACATCTTAGTCTGCAGGCAATAGGAAGTGAACTGTGTGCCACACTGGGGGTAGCTTGAACATAGGAGATCTCAAAGCCCACCTCTACAGTGATACACTTTCCCCAACAAGGTCACACCTACTCCAACAAAGCCATACCTCTTTTTCTATGGGAGCCATTTTCTTTCAAATCACCACAGATGTCAAAGAGCCTTCATCAGCCTTCTAACCTATAATTCTGGAAGTTGAACTTCTCTGGATCCCTTCACATTAACAGGAATGCCCAGGGCCTGGCATCTCATGGGGCAACAAACTGTCCAAAGATGGCTCAGTGGGTGCAGGCTACTAGGCCAAGGTAATGCTAGTCACAGAGGGTCTGGAATAAGGATGGATGCAAAGTCAGAATCTAAAGTCCAAGGTGTCTCTGGACACAGGTACAGGGATGGAGATAATCAAGTTTGTGTAGGGAGACGTGAAGCCCCATAGGCCTTCAGGACTACCACGTGTCTGTCTCTGGCTACCTCCTTTCCCTGCATTATCATTTAGCAACTCAGCAGCAGCCATGATAGAGTCAGTTGCATCTCAATACAGGAAATTAGTAAAAGGGATGATTCTGGGGAGAATCTCACTCCTTTTTCTGGTTTGTTTGTTATGTGTTTTGTTTTTATTTATTTATTTGTTTGTTCGTTTTTGAGACAGGGTTTCCCTGCGTAGCTTTGGAGCCTGTCCTGGTACTAGCTCTTGTAGACCAGGCTTGTCTTGAATTCACAGAGATATGCTTGCATTTGCCTCCCAAGTGCTGGGATTAAAGGCATGCACCACCACACCTGCTGAGACTCTCACTCTTTGTGCTAGGTTTGAACTGAGTACCCCATGTTCCTTGATCTTACCTTTAGTAGGCATAGTAGGCAGGAATCTTCCACCCAAGTAGAACTGAGCATTTGGACTTTGTTCCTGTGTGATTGTTTGCCCACAGCATTGGAAGAGCTGGAATGGACTGATGTCCCTCTTAGACCAATTGTCCACTGCTGTTGCTACTATCTCTGCCACCACAGAAAGGCTTCTATCTCACCACAACCCATCTGTTTGATCAGACATAACCTTCATTATTAAGGTCCAGTGATCCATGGTTTAGCTCTACATTAGCTCTGCCCAATATCCAGCCTTGGCATCAACATTTATGGGGCATGTGTATATTGGGGATGTTAGTAAAGGTATAAGATGGCTTTCAGGATGCCTTGACCAGAGAGGAAACAGCTGCCCACAAATCACTAGCCAATATAGGCCTGGTCACTCCCACAATGGTGTGTGGCTTTGGTCAGTGCCAATCTTGTATAGAAATTTGGCTTGATTCTGCTACAGAGACCCTGGGAAATGGCACAGGGACAACAAACAAACCTGCCCCGATGTAGAGTCCCAAGTGAGGGTACACTGCTGTATATAGGCAACTATCTTGTATCCTAGAGGAAGAGGTTCTGGTGGATAAGGCTAGACCTTCACATGGTACCTATTAATTTTAATTAATTAATTAATTAATTTTCTGTCCTAAGCACCTTTGAAGAAACAACTGCCTTAGTGACAGACATCCACAGGAACTTGGTTGAGAACTCTGTGCTTTCTACTGAGTTTGTTTCTTTTTCTGGAATTGGGGCCTGTACCCAAAGTTTTCCACATTGTGTTAATGTTCCTGAATTGAAAATTACCAATTCATAACACAGGAAAGCTTGCAGAAGACAGTGAGATGACCTTGACTTACTTTGGCTGAAAAACCCTATCTCCTCCTGGTGCAGGTTGCTACAGGCATTGGAATGCAGATGGGAGTGTTAGCTGTGTCCGGTGCTGGAATGGGACCTTCCCGACATACAATGGCTCTGAGTGCAGAATTCGTATGTCTTCTCCAAGTTATCTACCCCAGCTTCCCCATACTTGACAAGGGTCCTCATGTCCAGTTTGGGGAGATACTAAGGGAACCATTGTACTTGTCCTCTCCAGTGGCAGTACCCACCTTATCTGTGAGCAGCCCCTTGGATCCCTCCCTGAGTATTCTGTTCACTAAGGACAGCTGTGGGTGAGAATTGCTCCTTGCTTTCTCATCTTTAAACTGAGATGTCCCTTAGGACCATATGTGGAGGCCTCAGTAGGGTACTGGTGATGGCCCAGGCCTCCCCTCAGTTCTGCTCTCCCATAGTCACTGGCCGGGGCATGCAGTTTCCCATGAACAGAAGCACAGGGACTCCTGGACAGCCACATTTTGGTAAGTCTCTTAGTTCATAAGTCCAGAACTGCGCTTCTGCTTAGGATCTAGGTCTGGGGCTAGGGCTCATCATCAGAGCTGATATCAATCCTGAATCACTGAGCCCACAGTGTCAATCCTGAACCACTGCGCCCACAGCAGACATATCCATGATAAAGTACTTTTTGCACAGAGCTGTGGTCAAGGAAATGGTCTGGAAAGAATTCCATGTCCACTCTGACCCCCAGGCCCTGGGGATTGCATCACCCCATCCCAACTTGCCCTTACAGGATGTAGGCTGCTGACAAGACTGCAAACACACAGGTCATATTTCCTGATCTGTTTTCAAGGAAGGGACAGCCACTATCTACCTGATGTCTGTATCTCCAGAGTCTTTAAGCCCACCTTAAATGAAGGCCTGGGGTGTAAAGAGTGGAAGAATATGTCTGGGGTAGCAGTATGGCCAGGCAAGCGAGAGAGAGGACTGGGGTGGTGCTGGTAGAGAAAATATGCCCAAGTCAGAGGAGCCCCCATAGGTTAGGGAGCTGGACTGAGCTCCAGTACAAGACTGCTTCTTCTGAGGTGACCCAGTCACTTTACGGACACATTATCTTGACCTTCATCCTTCAACAGTGCTGGGTCCTAGGCTTGGAGTCCTATTCTGAGAAGGCTCAGTCCTTCCCATGGGTCCTGTCAACCAGAAATTGCACTTGAAGGTGCTATCTTCAACAGTGGAAGTCAGCTACACAGAACAATGGTGTTTAGGGTAGGGTTAGTATAAGCAGGACCTTAGCCACATCTATTACACAGTGCCAATGAGACAGAGCATGGTCCATGGAATCTCAGTAAGAAAGATACTTCCCATGTTCTGTCAACTACTAACTCTTTAGCATGCCCTGATCCCAAACAAATGGAGCAGAGCAGGAGGCAGCTGCATGTATCAGAAGTGAGATGCAGTAAGAGTACCTGCTGCCAAGGCTGGAGGCTTGATTCTCACTCCAAGAGGCTGAGGGCATTCTAATGGAGAGAGCCCAGGGCCTGATACTTCTGGAGCCTGGAATTAGCCTGGGCCAGGAGAGCATGGGCAGTGTGATGTCCCTTGTCTTGTGGCTAGGTGTGTTGGCTTGTAGAGGAGCCTGAGTGCAGAGCCCTGCTTCTGACATGTGGCTGGTGCCTAGTAGGGGCTCAGGTATGTTTGGGGAATGGTGGGCCCCAGGGGTTAAGCAGGGAGCACTGGACATCCATCCCCCCAAGACCCAGGCTTTCCTGGCAGCTGTTGGTTTGCCTGCAGGGGGTCCTGATGTGGCAGCTTCCCTCTTCCTGGGGACACTCTTCATCAGCACAGGCCTCATCCTCTCTGTGGCTGGGTTCTTCTACCTCAAGCGCTCCAGTAAACTTCCTGAGGTTTTCTACAGGAGAGACAGAGGTACTTCCTCCTGTGGCTGAATTTCCACCTGCCTAGCCTCAAGGGTACTGTCCAGTGTCTGTCCCTGCTCAGGGTATAGGTGGTTCCCAGCGGGTATAGAACAGGCACAGGGACTCCACTGTGCCCAGACTCACCAACACAGAGTGCCTTTTGATGTTCTTATAGTTGAGAATGTGAGTCTGGGCCCTGCTGCTTAGAGTTCCCAAGGTAAGAGATGTGGCTGAGCAGCTGTCCAGGCTCCAGGTGCTCAGGGCACTCAGAGCTGAGGCAGCTGCTGGGCAGCAGAGTGACATGTTGTTTTCTTCCCCAGCCCCTGTCCTGCAGCCTGGTGAAACAGTAAGTAACCCACCCAACTAGATGAGCACCCTGAGATCTGTGTACCTGTGCCAGGCCATCCAAGTCTCACTTTGCCTTTCTCTTTTCAAGGCTGCGATGGTCCCCCTGCCACAGTCTTCAGGTACAGGCTACAGCATGTTATGGGAGTTGGGTGGAAGGGCTTACTGTGGACCAGTCTTCAAAGCCTTTTCTATGGTTTTATCCCCATAAAGGTCCCTCTCTGGAACCTGATCTGCTTTCACATACTCTGAGTAGGCAGGGACAAGGACAGGTGCTCAGCAGGCATTACTCCTCTTCTTTCCCATCAACCCACCTGGTTTCCATGCTGTCTTCCTTCCTCAGCTTAGGGCCAGACTCCCTGCTTCTTGTGTAGTCATGTCTAAGTCTAGCTCTGCTTGAGAGCTGCAAGGAACATGTCAGTTCTTGGGCCTTTCCCTGCCAGACCTATCAAAAGTTGTAACCCACTGTATAGAAGAGGCCATGAGCACAGAGAGTTTGACTGGCCAGTAAGCCCTAGAGCAGATTTATTTAACTTCTTACCCCATCTCGTTGTCTTCACTGTGCAGAGGTCTAGACTAACCAGTGACAGTGTTTCTCTCTTTTGAAGATAAAGTAGTTCCTTGATGACATCAGACCTACTTTATGCCAATTAATATCTGTCTCAAGTTCTCTGAAGCAGTCTTGTCCCTGAGTACATCACAGATGTTGTCAGTGACCTGTACCACCAATACAGCAAAATACACTAGCCACTTCACGAAAAGTGTATGCCTTGATAGTTCTTGGAGCCCGAAGTTAGAAATCAAGATGTTGGGGTGAGAGACATGTATTCTAAGGCTTGGTGGCTGGGGAATCCCTCATGTCTTTTCCAGCTCCTAGTGTCTCATATCTCCTGTGACTTTGTGGCCACATCATCCATGTCTCTCTTTCCTTCTGAAGAGGATAATAGTCATTGGATTCAGAGCCCACCTGCTTAATCTAGGATGATCTCACCTGCCTTAATAGAATCACATCTGCACAGACCTTTTTTTTAAATTATGGTTATGTTCATAAGTTTCAAAGCTCGGGGTATGACCCTGTCTTTAGAGGGTGCCATCCAACTCCCTGTACAGCATAATGCAGGTCTATACTCTGTACTAAGGAATAGCTGGGCAGTCTTCTAGGCTCAGGTACTAGGTGTGGGGTCTGGGGGTCTGATAGGAAACACTGAGCTCATGGGCACCTCCATTAGAAGAAACTGCCTTTGCACAAGTGGAGCCTAATGAGCATCACTTCCTTGTTAGAATAAACACCTTACATGGGCTTTGTGCCCTGTGGCTGTTCACTATGCTCCTGGGAGCCTACAGTGCTGGCAAAGACCAGAACGTCACCTATTTCTGATTCAGCTTATCTCTAACCCCATTTCAGTGAAGAAACCAAGATACATCAGGCGTGAGCAGCATCCAGACAAGAATAGGGATCCTTCTGCCTTCTCCACAGTGGAGGCCCACATCAGCAACGTCTGACCTGGAGGTCAACTGAGACTTCACAGCATAGCATTGGAGACCTAAGGCTCCCCTCCAGTGAGCTCAACACACAAAGGGCCTGGGGCTTAAGATAGGCCAGAATTGGCTCCAAGTGACAGATACATACAAATGCTAGGGGTAGCTAACCTCCATGTCAAGAGATCTTCTGTTCCAGCTTTACTGTATGGTTTAACAGGAGTAACCATCTGTTTGTGAGACCTGGGGACTCAAGAACAAGTCAGATCGAGCCTGGGCCCCTCAGGAGTCACAGCAAAGTTCCAGCATCTGTAACAGCTACAACATAGGCTTGATCTAAATGGTCAAAACTTCTGGAGGCCACCCAGTGGAACCCATGTTAGACAGGACTCTCTCCATCACCACCAAGCTAAGAAGAATGAAACCAAGGCCCAGACAGTGGAGAAAACAACCTGAAAGCTGATATCAGAGAAAGGTTGCTCCAACGTTTCTGCTAAGGCACACATTTCTGAGATTTGCACAATTGGGTGTCTTAGGTTTCCTGATTCCAGAGACCAGCAGAACCTAGTCTCCCAGGAGCAGACTCTGGGTACTCAAAGTAAAATGTTTACCCACAAGGCTTCCATATCTGAACACTTGCAGGTCATTTGTGTCATTGAGCTTGTCAGTGGTCCTGTCTTTGCTGCTCTAAGCATCCAGAAGCTAGTGTGGCTGGTGGCATTGGCCATATGCTCCTGTGGAAGGAGGTGCCCTGTCAACTCATGCCACCCTCCTTCTATGGGTCAGGGGTATCTAGCATCTTCTTCAACATCTGGCCCACATCTGATCTTACTAATAATGATATGAGCTTACTTTCCCAGACTTGAACCAGTGGCTAAGGTAGCAGCAGTGATTTAAAGCTGGACCAATTAAACTAGACTAGATCTTCTCTCCTCTAGTCTTACTACCCCACGTGTTATCTATTCAGTGTGTGGGGGCCAACTGCCCCATTGCCATGTTCAGTGGACAGGGAATCCAAGAGGCAAAGAGGAGCCCCTCAGCAGGATCCAGGACCTGCCATTTATTGTCTGTCCATCTCCACATGTGACCCTGGCCTGTTCCATATATAACCCGTACCATTTTAGAACACTGTCTTGTATGAAGTGACTACCAAGCTCCTTAGGACTTGAGATAGATTGCCAATCAAGTGTGGCATGGTCCTTCAGATAAAACTACAGATGCAGCTGGGCCTTAGGACTTGAGATAGATTGCCAATCAAGTGTGGCATGGTCCTTCAGATGCAGCTGGGTGTGGTGGTGCACACTAGTCCCGGCACTTAGGAAGCAAAGGCAGGTGGATTTCTGTGAGTTCAAGGCCAGTCTGATCTACAAAGCAAATTCCAGGATAATCAAGTAATACAGAGAAAACTGTATTTTTTTTTTGTCTCAAAAAAAAAATAGATACATCACTAGATTTTGTGGGGGTCACTGACAGTTTATGGATCCAAGTCACCCTTAGGGAAAACAGGACCCTCTATACTGGCCACCTAAGTGCAGCGTCATGGTCCCACTCAAAGTGCATGGGTAGATGTGGAGATGTTTGTCTGCTGACTAATGGAGGAACTAGTTAAGGACTGCAGAATGAAAGCGTAGGGATTCTAGAGGTCCTGCCTATTGTGGTTTGAATAAGAATGTTCTCCCATGGGCTTATATACCTGAATGCTTAGTCACCAGGGAGTGGCACTACCTGAGAGGAATTATGAGGTGTGGCCTTGTTGGAGGAGGTATGTCACTGGGGTGGGCTTTAGGGTTTCAAAAGCTCTAGCCAGGCCCAGTGACTTTCTCTTCTGCTGTTGCCTGTGGATCTGGATGTAGAAACTCAGCTCCTCCAGCACTATGTCTGCCTGTGTGTCACCATGCTTTTACCCATGCTGATAATGGACTAAACCTTTGAAACAGTAAGTGAGACCCAATTAAATGTTTTCCTTTATTGAGAGTTGCTGAGATCATGGTGTCTCTTCACAGCAATAGAACACTGACTAAGACACTGCCCTTGCTTTGTAATTTCTGTAGCCCTCTTTATGCACTGGTTAGAGGGCTGTGGACCAAGACATCTGCTGAAACCTGAAATGAGTTTGGCATCCAAAGAGCATCCCTCCATCCTTGGCCATATTTCAGAAAATGCTGGGGAGTAAGATGCCCTCAGGCTAAGGTGTAGGTTTCCAGACCCAAATTCTTTGTTCTGAAACCAAACGCCTTGCCCTGGGTCCTAAAGCAGAGTTGGGTGCTCTAGCCAACATAAGCACCTTAAAGCCTAGGGTTCCTCAGTATGATTTCTAACGAGAATTGGCAAGGGATGTTGGCAGTAACCAGGGAAGGCAGCATGAGAAAGTGGCTGCCTGTCTGGCTCTCGGGGGCCACAGATGGTTCCTCTACCAGCTCATCCTGAGTAGCAAGTGCCCAAGCACTCCAAAGTGGAAACCTCAGATTATTCCAGCCACCTCCATGGGTTTGTCACTCATTTCCCACCCCTCTACTTTCTGGTCCCCACACCCTCATTCCTTCATATGATCAGTGATTTTTACTGGGCAGCACTGGAAGTGTTCCAAAGCCAGCTCATTAAGGATGGGTGGGACAAGAAAGGACCAACAATAGCATTAGGAGGTAGGCCAGGCCAGGCCAGGGACCCTTAAAGTGATAGGGCAGGGTTGGTCCTGCTTGGTCACAAGCATGGGAAGAACTGACACAGGACAAACCTACAAGATGGTCAGTACTAAACAAGTCTACCTCTTCCATCGCAGTACCCATGTACACCTTACTTGTGGGGAAACCAATTTCTACTCAGCTAGCAGCTGAGTCCTCAGGAGGAATTCTGGCCATAGGGCAGCCAGTACCAATAAGAATATGCAACCATGGGGGAGAAGGAATGGGGGTGAGGAGAGGGAGAGGGAGAGGGGAAGTACATGTGACACAAGCCTGTTCCCTAAGTTGAATTAATAATAATAATAAAAAGAGAAAAATGCAAAAAAAAAAGAATATGCAACCAGCATCCCATATCCATTGTTGAATGGTCAGCAGAGATGACTAGCACCAGGCAAGCAGAGATGAGGGGTGGGCCTAAGTTTGAACCTAAAAAAGGTCCTGGTCTTAAAAGACCTCATACACTAGCCATGCCTTGTCTCCCAACAGTTCATCATCAGGGACTTGCATCCAGATCCACAGCCTTGGTGGTGAGGACTGTAGTCAGGGAAGGTTTGGGAGTACTTCTGAGAGGCTATGACCTCTTTGGTAAGGATGGGGTAAGTAAGTTAACCCTAGAGCTGTGGGGCCCAGAGTGAGGAGATAGGAAATAAGGTTGGCCTTATGGGCATATGCTAAAACAAATGCATACACATGCTCAGTCAATGATAGTTGTATGTTAATGTGCACATCCATACATTGATTTGCTTGGTGATTTCTGTCACTTTCCTGCTGGTTAGGATAGGGTTAAGATGGACCTGTTTACTGCCCTTAACAGTGTATAGTCCAAGTTCTTCCTGTACTGGCTGGAGCTCCTCAAAGTCCTAGTCCCTCTGTCAGCAGGGAGTTGACTCCCCTGGGGTCAGGCCTGGGAGAAGGCCAGGGCTGTGAGAAACCTGATAGATTCCTAAGGCCTCACAGCATACTTGCCTCTGGACATTGACTGTTCACTGGGTAGCGTTGGTGACCTCAGAGCTTGGATACTCCCAGGAGCCTTCTGAAGATTGTTCCCAGAACATCTGAGACTCCAGTTTCCTAAAGGCAGCATGTGACACAGAGTCATACTCTACTCAGAGCACTTGAACTGGGCCCTTAGCAGCTTTTCCTTCTTAGCACCCTCATACCCTCTACAGTCATGGACTCCATCGCCTTCCACCTCCTCTCTGGACCTCTATTTTCCCTTGAACCTGTAATTACCTGGGCCCCATTTTTGATTACTAGTACTCATGGAATTAGGCAGGAGAGCCTCAATCCTTCCAGAGTTCAGACCCCTTTCCTCTGATAGGACATTGTCCCCAGGTTCCCACAATCCCCCATATCTTAGCTCCTTTCAAAGTTGGCTTTGATCATAAACATATCTAGGAGCAAAATTGTGGTAGCTTCTGGGGATCTGGACCATTGGGTGGTACTTTCGGGTAGGTACTTTGAGTACCTAAGGGCAGCCATTTCTTCCATCATGATGAGGTCCTCCTCCCTTCCCACAGGCCTATGTGAGAGCTCCCATCTAGGACCCTGCAATTCATTGTGCTTGGCCAGAAGAAAACTAAATCTCAGGGACAGGGAAGAACCTGGCCTGACCAAAGTAGGCGAGGAAGAGAAAAGACCACTGGTGTTATTGAGTCTGGTCAGCAAGAATATCTCAGCACAATGGACCTGGGGCAGGCCAGCGGCTGCCTATGCTACTGGTCACAGTCTCCAGTCCATCCCACTACAGTGTGGCAATCCCTGCCCAACCCTAGATGCTCCTTGCCCACCAACTCCTTTGAACAACACTTTCTTCTACTATGTCACCTGATCAAAGTTTCTTGAGATCCCATCTTTCCAAGAATACCTACAGGCTAGGGGCTTCCTTCCTGAAGTGTGGAACAAATGGTGCCAAACAGGTACCCGTAATATACTGTAGCCAGCCTGGGTCATTATTATTATTTATTATTATTTTATTGTTTATTGATTTTTTTTTTCAAACAGGGTTTCTTTGTGTAGCCTTGACTGTTCTGGAACTAGCTCTGTAGACCAGGGTGACCTCAAACTCAGAGTTCCATCTGCCTCTGCCTTCCAGGTTTAAATTAAGGGATTAAAGGTATGTACCACCTCCCCCTAGTATTCTTAACTTGACCCACCATCTAGGCTGTTGCTCAGGCCTGCCTAGCCCTGACCTCTCACCCCTACTTCCTGCAATCCAGGACAAGGAGGTCCCCAAAGGCAATAGGGCTCTGAAGCAGCAGCACATGAGGGTTTTGCATGAAGCAATTGTGAGAATATAGGTGAGATGGGAGAAGAAGGGGCAGGACATTGGTGGGCACAAGTAGATGGGGCAGAAAAGTGCAAATTGGGCTGTGTCTGAGTCTGTGCTAGGCTCATTGAAGGGTCCCTTCTGAGTACACTTGGGACCAGGTGAGCACACTTGCTTTCCAAAGGAGAGGGGCTTTGTCTGAGTACCTGAGCATCTGCTCTCAGTCTGGAGTCCTAAGACCAGAGGCCTGTTCTGATCCTAGACCCATCCTGACTGTAACCCTTCCCCTGGCTCCCCACCCATTCAGGGCCTGCCAGGGAGAGACCAGCCAATCTCTGGTGTTCCGGGTGTTCAGGGCCACACCCCCAGCTGCCATTACCTGGAGGGTATAAATAAACCTGCTTCAAAGCTCATGGCCTGAGAATTCACACTGTCTCAGTCAGCCTGCTCCTGGATGAACACATACATCCTGCCTCCCATTCCCACATACACACAGAAGAGGCACACCAGCTAGACCGGTGCCACAAGAAGGCTGTTGACTGCTGGCCTGTGGAAAAACACCTGCCAGGTGGAGCGGAGACTTGACTGGACCTGAAAAGGGGGTAACAAACTCTGCTAGAACTGGTCAGCCTAGAGGCACAGTGTTTTGCTGTGGCTGGTGAAGAGGATCATGCTCAGGAACTGCTGACTCTCAGCTACCAGGTAAGGCCAGCTCAACCTGTACTCACCTTTCACCTATGCAGTCTCAGGGTGAGGTCCCTTCATGGAAGGTGAGGCCTTGTGCTACAGAACCAGTCCTATGAGCAGCACAGGTCAGGGGAGGATAGACCTCATCAGACCTTGTCAAGACCACTGCTGCATCCAGGAAGTGGTGACATTGAATGCCAGAAGGTTGCAGCCCTCATGATGTCACATGATTCACATAGACCCAGTGATGATTCAGCAATCCTTGAGCCATTCTTTTTACTCACCCACTTGGGGTTGACCAGTGAGGCAGGGAGGAGGGGTCATCTCTGCTGTGGCTGCTGGGCCCCCTGGATTATAAAGCCAAGGCTTTTGTGGTGAAATACTCTTCTCTGGTCAGGATGCCTATTGCTCTTGAAGTGCCATCTTGGCCTACAGGAGGTTAGTGAACATTACTAAGTGGTCAGTATTTCTAGAATTCCTCTCAGAGAAGTGGAGTGAGCTGTCAAAGAAAGCCTGGATCTTCTATATCCCACCTTCTCCTTGACAGGCAACTGTATTATGACTAGATATTGACAGAACAGGGCAGGTGTGTGTGTATGTGTGTGTGTCTGTCTGTCTGTCTGTCTGCACAAGTGCATGTGTGAGCATGTCTGAGGCAGCTTCATTTCTCTGATCACTGGCTAAGGACCATTTTTATAACCCTTGACCTCTGGCATGTGTTTCTATCCCTACCAAACAAGCTGGCCACAGATTCCAGGATACAGCTGTTTAAAAAAACTTCTCAGGTCCCTACTAAGGCTCTCCCTGTTTCTCAGAGCTTTGTGGACCTAGCTGTTCTTCCAAAGACCCCAAACTCCTTACATATCTGCTGGCAACTCAGATGTATGACATACAAATCAGGGACCCACAGTGGGACCAAATTCAAACCCCTTCCACCTGTTCCAGAGCCACAGGTAGCTCATGAGCCTGCCAGGGCCCAGCTTCTCATTGGCTCTGATCCAGAAGACCTTAGCTAAGTCACTCCACTTTGGAGCTGCCTTCTCTGTTGGAGCTGTTAGTATTTTATGGCATGGGTTCAGCCTTGCAGAGCACAGACATAAATAGCAGTGGCAGTGGGCCACTCTCATTATCAGCATGGGTAAATATAGGCAATATTTATAATATAATATAAATATAGGCAATAAATATATCCAGAATCATGTTGACAACCCCTAGCACATAGCCTCTATTCTTGAAACCCATCTAGACTGTCCATGCCTGGGGTACCATGGGATTGTTGACCTTATAATAAATGCAAGAGGATAGGTTACAGTTTGTCCATGGATGGGATTTTGGAGGTACTTACAGGTGGATAGTGTCTGTCATTGGAATCTTTGGATTTGATGCTGGGGAAGAGAAGAAGAGGTATGACAGGCTGGCTTAACAGAAAAAACAGCTCATGATGGCCTGTCTCTCTGTTCCACAGCTCAGAATCATGTCATCAAGCCAGCAGGTGTGGCATACAGCTATGCCACCCCATTGCCAGAGCAGCTCCACAACCACAGTGCCCAGGTCTCCTGGTTCAGTTGGCAGCCCCAGATCCCCCAGTACTCCTGGCTCAGAGAAGGTGGCCTCCCCACTGGAGTGTTCCATCTGTTTCTCAGGCTATGACAACGTCTTCAAGACGCCCAAGGAGCTCTCCTGTACTCACGTCTTCTGCCTTGAGTGTTTGGCTAGGCTGGCGGCTGCCCAGCCTGCAGGCCGTCCTGGCAGAGAAGCTGTGCCCTGCCCATTCTGCCGGCAGCCTACAACTGTACCTGCTGCTGGAGCTCCTGCACTGCGCACCAGTCGTCAGCTACAGGCCAAGATGCCGGTGCACCTACGGAAGGAGGAGCCTGTGTGGCTTGAGGGCACCAAACTGTGTTGCCGTCCCTTGCCCACCACTTCTGGACAAGAGGCCAGTGACTTTGTGTGTGTGGATGTAGGCCTGAGCAAACCAGCTGAGCCCACCCTACCTGCACCTGTCCAGGATCCTGCACCCAACCAAGGCTATCTGGCCCGCTGTTGGGCAAGATTTGGAGACTGGCGTCGTGTAGCACTGGTGTCTGTGCTGTTGCTAATGCTATTTTGTGTGGTACTCTGGCCTGTGCAATGTGCACTCAAAACTGGAAATCTGCGCTGCATTAACCGGCCACCTGCAGCCACTGCCACTGTCACCCCCATTACCAATGCCCTCTTTTTTGGACCTCTAGCCAACAACTAGGGTCAACACTTGGGCCAGGCCAGCTATCCCACTTGCTCCATGGATAGATCCTGACCTACATAGATCAAGAACACAGCTTTGGAAGTTGGTCCTCCAGAATCAAAGACACATGTGCCCCTCACTCTCTCGGGCTGGGTGCCAATGGATACAAAAGGGTCTTCAAAGCCTCTAAGAAATACAGGCTTCTAAGAGCCCCAGAATCTGCCCTCTGACCCTGTCACACAGATGGGGAAAGGAACCCAGGAATGTCTGGTCAGGCCCCTGACCTTCCTGAACACATCGAATTGCCCAAAAGGCAGTGGTTTGCCATCCTTCCTTTTTTTTATTAATTAAATGTATTCATTTATTTTACATCTTGACCAAAGTCCACCCCTTCCTCCCCCACCCCCGGTCCTTCCTTTCATAAGACATTTTACCAGGATCCCTCCTTTCTCTAGAAAGGACTGGACTTTTCCACTTGGTAGGGATGCTGAGCAGCTACTTCTCTTAATAAGAGTGAAAATGAAGAAGCAGGACGCCTCTGCCCATGCTACAGCAGCAACTTGCCAGCTCTCTGTGGCCATTATGAATGGTACATTTAAAAATAAATTATTTTGTATGAATATTGTTTCTCTGTGTTCCATTCAATTTGTCCTGTTAGAAAGTCTCCCACTTCACATCCCCACAGCCCAGCCTCCACTCAGGTATCCTGACTGGATCACAGTAGGACCAAGTAGGGACAGTGGGGGGTCAGGCAGGAACCAACACTCATCTTTCCTGGCTTCAGAAGGGTGAGGACAACTTTTGACTTAGCTGCTACCCAACACCATGAAGCTGAGAACTAGTAGGTGGCCTGAAAACCTATAGACCGTAGGACCTTGCCAGCAGACCCCCAGCCTTCTTTGGGCCAGCCTGGATACTGAAACAGCAAAGTTTAATGTCAGGAGGATCTCCATCCACCTCACAGCCATCCAGGTTCTGCCATTAGCCCTAGAAATCCTATATTACCAGGTTGAGTATGTCCAGGAGGGCCCAGGCCAGTTCCAGCTTGGGCAGGTCTTAGCCTCCTCACCTCTCACCCCAAAGCCCAGGTACTTCCTGTTCTAACCAGCTGTGTCTTTGGCTAGGCCAAGGAGGAAGTTTAGGGAGGTCCTAGAGAATCTGGATCCAGCTACTGGGTTAGGGGGAACAACACGATGGGCATGACACCCAACACACCTGGCCCCAGTGCCAATAGATACAGAACTGAGAACTTTACTGAAGGTACCACAAAGTCACAGACCACCTGTGATGGGGAATGACTCTTCCATGTCCCATGGGTTAGTGACATTGCATCCTGTCACACAGTGATGCACATGTGTGGAGCCACACCCATGTCAATGGGAGGGCCAAGCACGGTGAGAATGCCTATATGGTCACATGAGCATCTCACATGTGCTGTCATTCCACAAGCCTTATCCACTGTGACCAAAACAATGCTGAATCATCGCAAGGACAAGATCCCAGACCACCCTGAAGCATGAAGGGTTAAAGACAGACCATAAGGAAGTTGGATTTAAGTACAGGTCAAATCAGGCTCAGACTATCCTTATCCTTGTTGCTAAGGTCACATATAGGATCACACAGTGTCTGGAATTGTGTGGCACACACAGGTCGACTCGCACAGGTCCACATGTAGTCACTTGTCACAATCCTGGGACATTTCAGTTGGGTGTCAGGAACCCGGCCAGTACACGGGGGATCTCCAAATGCTCCTTCCGCTGCTAGGACCCAGACTTATCTGGACTGAGGAGCAGACTCCTAGGATGCCTTCCACAACTCCGGTCGGTCGTGGCCAGCCTTGCCACCTGTAGATCCCGGGTTTTTCTAGTACCTGGTTCTGATCCCCATCGAGATTCCCCAGGCACCAAAGATGCCGCAAGTCGCGGGTACCGCTGAGGTTGGGGCCTGTGGCTGACCCAAGCCTCCATTAAAATATTGTCGTTCCTTCCAGTGCCCACTCTGTGGAAGGGACCTGGTGCCAGTTCACCTTTGTATGCTGGCGCCTCCCCTCTGGACCTATTCTCGCAGTCACAGCTTCTGGCCTTCCTGAGTCAGCCTAAATCTGAACCGGTGGCTAGCTCCCGCCCAACTGGTAGTGGTGGTCGTTGCTCGGCACCAACTGGATCGTTATTCCAGAAGTCAATGTCTCAGTCCAACCAGGGGGACTAGAGAGCTTGGGGGGTGGGGGTGGCAAGGGCAGGTGAGGTGGGTGTGGCCTAAAT